ACCAAGACAACATCCTAGGCTGGCCCATTCAGAGCTGCATCCAATCTGTCTGACTCGGGCTGCCTCCTGACTACCATGCTTTCCCCCTGGCAGACACAGCCTGGTCTCCTGACAACACACTGCTCGAGGATCAAAGAAATGTACCACATGGATAAGGGAGGTAGTATTTTTCCAAGCATGGCTCTCTCTTCACAATTGTCTGCATACAGACTCTGTAGGTTAAAATTCCCTTGGCAGAGCTCTGAGCAACTCCCGAGGGCTCAGACAGTCACTTTCCACTCGGCTTCCTCCAGGGAAAGCTCCTATATCCCAGAGGAAGCTTTTCAAGCATGCCTTTCCCTGGAGAGGGGCCTGTTGCATTTCAGAGACAGCTTTTTTAAGAAAAGGAAGGCACTTCCCTAACCCACCTGCCTAGCGCTAGCTTATCCCATCCCACACCGAACAGCAGGTACACAGATCCCATTTCCTCTTCCGAAGAGCTTGGAGGGGCAGCAAGCTCACCCTGTTGACACTGGAAGTATCATCATTAGCACCAGAACAGAACAGGCTGGGTAGGCGCTGCTTTTGTCAGAAATGCTGGTCCATGGCCCGTACATGCTATAGCACGAGCCAGGCTCAGAGACGTTTGGGAATCGTAACAACTAGAAAGATTTTTTCTTAAACACGAGCACAGATTCTGAAGACTAAGAAAGCAACAAGAAGGAAGGACCTGTGCAGAATGAATTCTAGCAAAAGGAGTAATTTTGGAGATCATCTCTCTCAATCTCACAGCCCTGCAGGTAAAGCAAAACACACCTGCAACTTCCTTATTAACATTTTTTATGTTCATTGCCACTATTCCATAGAAATTCTAGGAAAGCTTACCCTGTTAAACCCTGGAATAATTCATAAAAGTTTGTTCTTTGAGGGGTCAACCTGTGAGTCTCTTTCCTTATTTCACTGGTGTGTGCTCTCTTTCTTCTGTTACCGTTCTTTGGCTCTGCTGCTTTGGTATTTCTTTATTCCTGTCCCTGCTTCACCACTTTCAGTGCAAATTTCTCTCAATCTTAATTTCAATCCATAAAAATGTTAATTCTTACCTAACATATATTAGTCTATGTAACCTCCTAGCACACTGTAAGGCATCATGATACTTGACACAAATATATAAACATCAACAGAGCTGTCTTCTTGTCTACCCTTTTGCCTTGAGGTAGGGCAAACGTAACTAAACTGAGCTTAGAAAACGTTTGATGATTTTTTAATAGCAAAGCTACGTGAAGATTAAAGTTGCACAACCTTCCTAAACACATCCATTCTGGTGTTTATCTGCTCCACTCATATTTCACAGATCTTGAACTTCAGAGCTGATTTTTTATTCAGGAGTAGCTCAGGCCGACTTGAAACTACCACGAGATGTGAACAGCAGCATGAAAGGCTTCTGTAAATACCTCGGTGGCAAAAAGGAAAGGAAAAGAAAGAAAAAGCAAAGTCTGTGTGGCTCAACGTGGCAAGGGACCTCGTGATGAAAGACACGAAAAAGGCCAAGGTACCCAGAATCTTTATTCTCTTTTCACAGTTTTGGGCTCCCCCATACAGTAAGACAATGACCTCCTGGATCAAGTCCAGCAGACCATCAAGATGTTAGGGGGTGCAAATGTACAAGGAGAGGCTGAGAGCTGAGTGTGCTCAGCCTTAAGAACAGAAGGTCTTACTGCTGTCTACGACTACCTACCAGGAGGGTGGAAAGAAGACAAGAGCCAGACTCTTCTTGGAGGCCCATGTGGATGAAATTAAGAGTCAACAGCCACTTGTGGAACAATGGATGTTCTGATTAGATATAAGGATAGTTTATTTACTACCTTGAGGGTAGTAAAATACAGAAAGAGGATGCCCAGAGAGGTTGTGGTACCTCCATCCTTTGAGATACTGGAAACTTGACTGGACCTCCAGCGGTCTCTTCCAGCTACACTTCTACAATTCTGTGCTACAATTCTACTGTATGACTCGGGGCAAGGAAAACTGCAGGGTGATGAGTGGAGACCATGTCTCCCTGACTTCCAGCACAGCCCTAACTGATGGAACGTCTTCGCTGTCACAGACATGTTCTACATTTATCTCTAAATAACTGCTGTATCGGGACAGATTTTCTACAAAGGACACAAACTGGTATTATGGACCTAATGCTTCTGCAAGCAACTGAACAACAACATGAATGGCACTTACTTTTTCCTGAGTGCAGGAGACAGGATCAAATAGACACAAGTATTATAACCTTCCACTAAAGGAAAAGCATGTTCATAACATCAATCTGGTATCAGAATACTTCATCAAACCCTTTCTCTACCACTAATCACACACACAGTAACATCTGTGCAAGCCAGTTGGCTCTGGACAGCTCCTGTGGTTCTTGAAAGACTATTTCTTGGCAGGTTCTGTTTTTCACTCTAATTGAAAGGTTAATCAAATCAGTCATACTTGCATGTTGGCTAAATAAACACACTGTCTCCACTGATGATGAAACAGATGCATTATCACTCACATTTCCCACGGGGTTCATTTGTTCCATGATTGCGTTCGGTTTTCTTCAACCTTCTCTATGCAGTACCTGACAGCATTTTGGATAGTTTTCATAAGGAAATTTACCTTTCAGATGCTAGTGTGTTCACATGTCTCCTAACTCTAGTAGCCTTTGGCAAAGGTATTATGTATCCTCAACACTGCTTCGTTGAGGAAAACGTGGAAGAAGTTTATCCTAAAAAAAGGTGAGAACTCTTATTGAGGCATAAATGCATTATCGAGTCTAGCAGTTACGGTGCTGAGGCAGAAACTGAGAACACATTCCAACCTGGCTTCTCTCTGCCTCTCCTCCCTCAATGCCAAGCCTCCTTCTGCAGAAAGCTGTTTCAGCAGCTCTCGTTAGCCTTAGAACCCAGTCCTGCAAATTCATACGCCTTGTCTTTGATTTCACGCACAGTTAAAGAGTGTCACTGACACATTACAGTCTTTTTGAACTATCTCTTTTTGAAACCAGCGTTTACATTTGATAGGGAAATTCATTGTTTGTAAGGTATACAGAAGATATGCTGAATGCATGACATGTAGAAAGTATTTATTCAAGTTAAGAAGTTCTGTGTATCACAACGTTTTCAAAAGTCCAAGAACTACAACAGCCGATACATGTTTTAAAGGAAAAAGCATCCAAAAACTTTCTGCAACCTGGTAACTAGTATAACCCGTACAGAGATTAACACAGGTGTAGCTGATTTCAATATTACACATTATGAAGTGTAGCTGAAGGAAAAAAAAAAGTGTACTTTTTTCTCTCCATTAAGAACATAACATCTATGCAATGCATTACTGAAGTTCTTCAGGGTGGGATTCATCTCACCTATTTTCTGTGTACTAAAAGATACAGGTAACTAAACTAGTTTGCTAAACTGTTAAGAGACACACTCTCTGCAGGGGTCTTCAACTAAATTATGTTTCAGAGATATTCTCTCCCTCCATTGACCGTAAATAGAGACCAGACTTCCCAGGTCTATATGTCTGAACAATTTAAGTCATTTGCACAACAACTCATCAGCCAACAATTAACTCCCATTGCAGTCCTTCATTTTTTTTACTATTTTTAAAAGCAAAGCATAAAATCAGGTCATCAACTTCCAACCTTAGTCTCCACATTAAAGACTTTTTCTTGAATCTATCTCGTAATGAAGAGTAAACTGTATTACGGAGAGCTGAACATCCCACTAAGAAAAAGCCCATAATGCTGTTGTCACAAGTAAATGGCATTTGGGAAGAAGTACCATTTTCTCCCACCCTGTACTATACACCTTTTTAACCTCTGATTCACCTAAAACCATCTTGAGCCAAAATGCAACGTTCTTATTTACTTATTTTGTCACCTTAGTGTGACAAAAGTCATACTGATAGAAATTTTACCATTCCTGTTATCACCACATAGCCCCTTATTGCTGACAACAGAAATGCCAAATGCAGGAGTAAATCAGGATAGCTGTGGAACCTAAAGCCAGCAATAACGGGCAACAGGCACAGTACTGACCTCCATGGGACTTCGCTCATCTTGAAATTTACTCCCACTGTGTTCTTACAGCTTGAATTTGTCATTCGCTTAAGCACTTTGTTGAACCGAGGCATGGGAAGAAAAGCAACAGAAACAGTGGTCAAGTATCAGGGGGATTTACATTTTAAGCCACAGCACAAAAGAGAGATTTGAAATTAGTAATTTCTCTGTAGAAAGCTTTGCATAAGCTAAGAATAGCAGCTTACCTCAGTTTAGTGATACCATATTTGTAAAAGCTTCCCTGTACAACGGTTTTGCATAAAAATACAAAATGCTTGGGCAAAAAAGAGTGTGATAAGCTATTGTTTAAAGTATCTTGTATTTTTAATTGTTCCGTGAATCTTTCACAAGGTGCTATAACAACACTTGATGTCGTACAGACAAGTGAATATCTGCACTCCCCCACCGGGGTTGAATGGCTTGCTGATCAAAGAGTAACTGCTTTTAGGATGACTTTTTCATCTACTAGGATCTAAATTGATAAAAATGGTAAAGTCAGATTATTAGAACTGTGTGTGCCTTAGGAAACACAACTGCATATCGATTTGGAAGACTATTTTTTAATATTTATTTAGTAAAACTCACTATACAAACAGAAGTTATCACAACAGCGCAATATGCAGGATTATAGCTTCCCCTTCCTTCAAGCTGCTTCTTTCTTTCAGTAAAAACACATATATACATTTACAACGATCTCCCGTTAAAGCACTGGGATTTCATATATTAAAACATACCTGGTAAAATAAGCTTAAAATGATTTCACATTGCTTGGAAAAAGATTTGAGTAATTTACTCTTACCAGAGTGCCATTGTTGCACAGTATTCAAAAAAATGAACCACCACTAAAATATAGAGTAAAACATTTAAAAGTACATTTATTTAAAATGTGGGCAAAATATCAATATAAAAGAAAATAGAGTATAAGAAATAAAAATAAAGTACAAAACATTTTCATCTTCAACATCCATAATTTAATAGATAGCTAGCCCTTTTATTTTTACATCCAAATTACACTTTTGGCTGAAGTACCATCATTTACGTTAAAATGTCTAAAAACGGGCTAATCATGATACCTAAAGTGGGCTCTGTTAAAACGGTAGTATAATACAAAACATAGTAAATTATGTTTCAGCATAATAAAATTACACATCCTAAAAAAGATGCAGTTTATTTTTGCTTTCCTGCTTTAAACTGCTCATCATCCCTAGGAAAACAGCTGGAAAACAGCATCCACAGGAAGTTTTAGTTGCTTTGTACAATGGCTGAACAGCTAGATTTAATGCTCCAAGGATTCCGAAGCAGTAAGGCATTTCACTGTCCATCAAGTAAATTTATACGTACGTTTGTTAAGAAAGAATAACTTTAAGAAGCGACTGTGAAATACAACTTAGATAAAAAACATGCATAAAGACATAGAATCCTTTCTGGTCCCTCCACTGCAGTTATCAAACACGGTTTAGAATCTTCTTCAGTAAAAAGCTGTTTTCTTCATCTGCAAGTAACTCGTGACAAAGATTCTTCTTAGTGACGTGGTTTTTTCCTACTGCTATTCCTTTCTGATAACCCTGCCTCCCACCTCCACTGAAGTATCTCCTATTAAAAAGTAATTCCACTTTGAATTTAAGCTAGGTTTCTAGGTGTTAAACCACCTTCCTATCAAGTAAACATTACACATCCCCCAAAATCATAAATAATTAGTTCCTAATGAAGAAAAACTTTTGGTAAACCACACTCCCCTAAGCAGCCAACAGCCTCGACACAAAAAGGATATGACTCATAATCCAGTGTTTGAGTAAGAACTCCAGTCAGGACAAACTCAGCATTGTGGACATCTGGAAATACCAAAAACAGGCACACGGTTTAGAGCCCACAAAGACACTCGCCCTCGTTCTGCCCGCGGGGCCGTTCTGCACCTCCCTGCTCTTCAGGCACAGGCGTAAGGGGGCCCTGCCCCACCACTGCCAGGGCCCTGCTGGCAGCCACCACACTTCACACCGCAAAGACCGGACTTCCCTGTGCACCTCTTTGTTAATAAATACACCATGTCTTGGGGTTCTACACTGAAGTAAAAATAGCTAAAGTGAAACATCCCAAACCTTTAACTAACTTGATGAATACTCAACAGGACCGAAGCCCCGAGTTTAAGCCTACCCTTCCAGAGACTTACAGCGACCTGGCTATAAAATACCTCTATTACAACCACCTAGCAAACAGACGGCTCATTTTGCTCCATGGTTGGCAGGATACACCATGTATTCCTATGCTATTATCTGAAAGCTTCAAAAGATGTCTATACTCGTGAAATAATAATTTTATTTTTTTTTTAAATCAAAATAACAGCCATACCGTTCAAATTACATTGACAGCTTATACATACCTATGCCTCTTGCAAAATATTCTCGACATAAATGAAGGTCATTTTCACAGGAAATCAAGATTATCTCCGGCAAACTCTAAATGAAAGAAACTAATCGTAAGCTCAGAGTAACACAGTAAGATACTACCAGTAAATTTTAGAAAGCAACACTCTACACACTTTATTCTGCTTGTGCTCCATGAGTTTTCGAAAAGAAGGTTGTTTAGATAATACTTTTCCTCCTGCACATTCCACAATAGCTTTCATGGTGGAAAGACTGGGACAAATTCCAGGTGTAATGTAAAAATATTTTCCCTAAAAAGAGAAAAGAAAGAATAAGAAAAAAAAATGTTATTTTGTTAACTGATTTCTGCCACACATTAAGTTTTATTATCATGTGACTCTCCTCTTGCACGCTCATGGGGCAGGCTTTGTAAGCTGGTGTTAGATATTACAGCTTATGGCAACAAATTCAGCAGATGATGGCTTGTCCTTAATTACCACTGAGGTTTTTCCTTGGAGAGGCAAACCCACAATTATGATAAATTTGAACAGCTTAAGTGCGTCTATTCCAACACCTACAAAATAACAGCCAGGGAACTTTCAAAGGTAACTGCAGCTTGGTAAGACATGTAAGGACAACAGTGCTCCTTGCTTCTGCAAGCACAGGGACAACTCAAGTGTTGCAAAAGGACTTTTAGCTTTTAATTAATAGCCAATGTATTACATTCTGACAAAAATTATCCTGCTGCTTCACTGAGACCGATACCAGTGACCAAATCACAAAGTCGATTATGCCTCTTTACCAGCTAGGAATGAAAAAAATAGCTTTGCTATTTAGACTGGAAAACTGAGTGAAATGTAGTATCTAGACTTAGTAAAAGACAGATTCTTATTCATTAGAAGTTGTAAAAATACCCTTTTTAGCTGGTTTGCCTCAAGAAAAAGTCTCAAATTCAGTTACACTGAAGAATCTCTGGCAATTTGGATCTTCAGGTATCTCTCTGCACTGTAGCATAATTCTAATGGGAGGCAGGAAAACTATCTTGGCACCATCCTCACAAACAGCCTCGTGCTAAGCGGAGTCTTCAAGGATAATCAGACTAGAACTCCCTTAGGCTGAAGTGCAAACTCCCTCTCAGACTCTCATTTTTACAGGCAAGTGCTTTGACTACCAGGCTGGTGCCAAAAAAAAAAAAAAAGAAAAAAAAAAAAGAGTCCGTCTGTAAGTGGCATTTCACAAATAATGGAGCAATGTTCTAAACTTCACAAGGGAACAAATTCTGTAAGTATACTGAACATGTTTTGTTCACATCTACAGGATCCAGTCACTCAGAGGGCTTCGATCCATTCCAACAATGCTTAGGCAAGAAATAGGCATAAAGTAAAAAATAAAATTTAAAACAAATGCTTCACGTTATATGCTCGTCCGTTTTATTGTCCTCAGCTACAAAAGCTGTGGTCCCAATGAAAAAATCAGGTTGAAAAGCTCCAAGTATTTAAATGTGCTTTTAAACTGCATACCTTGAACAGTGGAGCTACTTGTGCTCTCTTTAGAGACTCCTCTAAACTAAAGCAGAATAGCACCTCAGCTTCAGCATCTCTGAGCACGAAGTTCTGCTCATCTGAAAAAGAAAGACTGATGGTGTAACTCACGAAAGACAAAAACATCCCTGTAACCCAGGTTCTAATCTGATCAGAAAATGCTGGTGGGAGGATGACTCTAAATAGTAAACACTCACTAATTTTAACATGATTATAATACTGCCTTTTATTAGGCATCTTACAAGGATGACCCACAATTACTCGGAGAATAAAACTGTGTATTTTACACTTGTGTATCAACCACTGTCCTATAAAGTCCCTTCTTCTAACTTATTGGGGAAACTTGCAAACTTTTATTCATTGATTCTCTACAAACAAAGCAGCAGAATAATTAAGTTCAGGTGCAAATCACTGTGACAACCTAAGGGAGCCCAGAAACTGTCTTCAGCTCCTCACACAGCCTTAACAGAGCAAACTTTCCATCTGTTTCCCTTGTCCTGTTATTCAGCTAATTTATTTTTTTTTAATTAGGGATGGAATTTCAGTCTTAACTTCATCTTTCCACGAAAAGCTATGTCAAACACATTTCTAAATCAGATCTAATTTGAAACATCCAAGTTTAAAGGAAAAAAAAAAAAATACATGGAGAACAAATTGGTCTTTCCAAGGACAATTCTGCAAGAGATGGTTTTAATGCTCTTCCACAAGACAAAGAAAACCAGTAGGATGACTTTTCTAAACAATTGCTGTATTTTCCATTGTTGTACTAGCTACAAAAGTGAAGGCAACCCATTAGCTAAAATCGACTAAATTTCAGTAGACAAGTGAAGTACTTCAAGCACTAGATCAAAACAGTCATCCTTCTGAATCCCCAGGCTTTCTTTATCTGCTAACAGTTTTCAAACGGATTGATTTCTCAGTTCACTGACACTGATCCAAGCAAGTTGCATTCTCCAGATTTATAAAAGTGTTTGCTGGTTTATTGGTGAATTATCCATAGATTTAAGTCTTTGTGGCCATTAGGCAGCAATGTGATATATTTGCTCCTTACAAACAAATTACATAAAAAGCAAAAAACAATCATAAAACAAATCAGCCTTTAAGAAGATTTTCTTCAGACCCAACATCCTTGTCAAACAGACCAAAACCATCTATTTTGTTCTTTTCAGCTGTCAACAGAAAAGCAGAGTGAACACAAAGTTGCCATCTTCCAACACTGTTAGAGTACTTGACTAATTAATTATTTAGATGCATTTTTGTATGTATTTCCAACAGCGGCTCAGTTCCTTACAACTAACATTTTGAAAAAATTACTGAAACCAAAAGTATTTGGGGCTTAAAAAGTAACATAACCACAGTTAAAAATCTGCAAATGTTTATATGAGAAAGAAATACAATGCTTAACAACATCCAACTACTTAATCACTCTAAAGCAAACTTTTAAAGTATATTTTTTACTTTATTTAATGGAAAGAAACTGTATTAAATCAAATGAAAACCAATTAAACAAAATGTTCTCTTGAAAGATAACTTAATAAAAAAAAATTACATAATTTCTTCTCATGACAGCTTTATTTAAGAATTCCAACATAACCTTCTACCTCAAGTGAAATACAAACTAGCTGCTAGTGTAATTGTTTAAATGTAACATCAGTTACGAACGATGGTAGTCCCATTTGCTGTAGACTTAATCTCTGCTTTCAAAACTGAACTCTTTAGAAAACTGGCAAGAGACACTCAAGGCACAAGTCAAAACAAGTGTCTTTAAATATGCATGCCATCTTCACACACTGAAATCAATGAACCTTAAGTTTACTATAGAAGCTGATACTAGTTTAACTTACCAACAAATTTCTGGCATTTGAAACACTCTTCTAACCACTCCGGAGTTACTATGTGCTTGACTACAGAAATTGCTGTCAGGAACTTGACAGTTCGGGTCACTTTACTGGCAATTAGATGGGTACATTTCTGGGCAGATTCTGCTACTTCACCCCCAAGGATATACAGTTTCTGAAAGTGGTACAAAACACAGATTAGAATGGAACAGTCCTTTAAAAATTGGATGAAAAAATGAAGAATCATAACATCATCATCAAATAAAACTAAGCTCCAAACCAAAACAGTAAATACAGGAGATTCCTGTATTGCAGTCATTTCCTTACTAAAGCTGATTGAAGGACAGAATTCATAGCCATTGAAAATCCAGGTATTTCCAGACACAAATTTCATCTGGCAAGACTGAAAGCTACATTCTGAAAGCTTCTGCTGTTTTTTGGGTTGGGGTTGTGGTTTTTTTCAAGCAAGGAAATAACTACAGGATACAAATTAAAATCTTTAAGTGAAACTTACATGTAAGAAAACAGAAAATGGAATAATTTTGCTCTTTTCTATGGAAGGTGTAATATACTCTGTAGCTACTGTAAACTTAATTTTGCCAGTCTCCTCTTTGAAGAGAAAAGCATCTAATGGAAAATAAGTATTCTTTAAATACACTAGTTCCACACCTATTTTTGATGATACAGAGTAACTACCCCTTTTTCCTTTTGCCACTGCAGATAGCAACTACACTAGAAGAATCTTGGGTCTTATCCAGTACAAGCAACACTACTTTTCTCACCTAAATTGGGTCATGAAGTTTGCTGATTTAAAAACAAACGTAGAAGGGGCCTTCTTGCTTTTTAAAACAATCATATGGAAAGAAAAAGCAGGTACCACAGAAGCGTGAAGTAGTTAAGTGAAGCAGAACAGTTACCAAACAAAACCCATTTCATATAAATCTACGCTCTAACCGCAGTTCCAGTAAGTATGGGGTTTTAATCCACTAGATGTATCCTAATCAAGTCCTGGAGAGCAAAAATTCACAATCAAGAAAAAAGTTCACAGATGTTTCCGTGTAGTTCACAAGAAACAAGCATGAAAGTTACCTTAATGTACTGTTGAACTTGCATAGGTTCAAATCCTGTGAAGAGCACCATTGGCGTCAATTCTGGGGTGAGTTTTTTAGTTGGTGGTGGTAGGTCTTCAATCCTGCAAAATACACGAAATACAGCAAAATGTGAAGTTTGGGCCCAAAGATGTATTACTGTTATTTTAAAACTAGACAGGCACACTCTTGCAACTTTTACCAATGGAAGCACTCAGATGAATGAGACTTAGGCACAATCAATCATCTTCTGCCATGCTGAGAACAGGACATTTTCTCCCATTTCTGTCCTCTCCCAACTGTCTTACTACTTCAGTCTCTAGTTACTATTTTAGTCCTGTGAGTTGAGTAGTTGGCAATTTGCAAAAAGCGTTGATAGTTATTTCAATTAGCAAGGTAATGGATGAAACCAGACTGACGGTCAGCTGAGGCTTCTGTGGAAAAGTAAATGAAGGACTACTGGCACTGATCGCTCGCTGTTCTTACCTTGCTCTTTTGGAAGATGGCTGAAGACTGGATTCATTTTGCTTTGGTTTCAAAGGCAATCTCACACCCTGAAATCAGATCATCTACATGTTTAGGTCTGAATTGAGCAGGGAAACAAACTTCTATTCTGAAAGAGGAAAACTATATACCAATATTCTGAGACTACATTAAAGAAAATGAAACACAAATGAAGAAGCCATGCTACTGAATGCGTACTGGCACACCTATTGCTTACACAGCTGACTCAAGGCAAAGCTGAGCATTAACCAAAGCTTCTCCACAAAGTTATGCACCATTTAAGTGTACACCAAATAAAATATTGTGGGACTTTTTTCCTTTAAATGAAGCTGATAATCACCAATAAAATCACAAATAATTAAATGAGCCAGAGGCTGCAAAACCCCATTTGTTAAATGCATGAAGACTACAATATTCTTCCAGCTGCCTAAATATGAACAGAACATACTGGCAGCTGCGTTTTAAACACTCAAGTTCCCTAACTACATAAACAGAAGCGCCAGTGGATGCTCACGTACTCACTGGATAGACACTCCCACCTCCCCAGTACTAGATCAGCCACCAGAGCATTTGCCCAGCAGTCAAGAAACGTCGCTTTTAGGCTCTCCCTGGCCTGAGCAACTTGAAACCACAGCTCTCAGTTACAGGAGCGTGACATCCATTCCTTTTTAACCTTCAAATCTACACCTGAAATTTAATGAGGAATGCTAGAGGCATGTGACTAGAAAGACAGGCAGCATTATTCCAGCTTCGCTGTGAGGACAGTCCTTTGGGAGGAACCGGCCACAGGGGTTTGTTCCCTGCTCTCAGGGACATGTGTTTTCATGCTAGAAAATTGCTAGTAAAAGCGGCTGGAAAGAAAAGAGCAAGTGCTCACTTTTGATAGACATTTCAACGACTACACTATGAAAAAGCAAAAGGTACATGGTATCAACACCGTCTGACAGACAGCTGTCCTCAAGAGAGGACCCCATACTGTAAATCCCAAGACAACTAGAAATGCCTACAGGCAATGAAGTACCTTGTCTGACACTGACACCTGCCCGGCATTTTCTATTACCAAATCATATTCTTCACACGTTGGGCATCCCGAGGGGAGCTGGACAAGATTACCTGCAGAAGTGCCTTTCCACCCAAGTCTCAAGACTCCCACTTCACATGGGCAAGAAGGGTCCCCATACAGCAAATACAGAAAGGGAGGCACTAAATTAGGCTTTCTGACCCCTAAGCTCTGTCCATGTGCTACAGAAGACAAAACATGGACCACCACCTGGTCTGAGCCAGTAACAACACGAAGAAGGCACATGCCCCATTTCAAGATGAGCTCAACTGCAGTGTGGACACAAAGGGTGGCGGTAACAAAGCCAAAACTGAGTTAGTTAAAAGCTATTTTAAATACTAATAGTGCATACTGAATCGCTTCAAGAATTCTGCCACTAGCAGCATGCATCCTTCGTCAGGAAAGCGTGAAGTACACAAACTTTTAAAGGCGGTTAATTTCCTAAAAACTAGTTTCCTATGAGCCCACAAAACAATTCCACAGGGGTCTGTAAGAAGAACATCTCAAACTTACGGCCAGGGATACAGTAGTGGCTATTTCTAAAGCTGAAAGGTATTAAAACAACAAATAGTGCCCAGACTCCACTTAGAGTATTAGTACAAATGAAGCTATGACAGTTACTAAGCTACTCGTTTCTGAAGAGTACACAAAATGACTGAGATAAGAAGTGATCCAGATCACAAGAGGTACGGCAAAATGTTTCTCTGCAATATAAAATGTTATCTGACAGTCATATGTTGTACAAATGAACTGAAAGCTCACTCACTCAAACTGGGATTCACCTAAGTCAAGACAGACACTGCAAAAACAGTTATCAAGTATAAAGCTGAAATGGGAACAGAATTTACAATATAAAAACTGAAATAGTCTTCTACATATTCAGAACAAGGAAACAGCTCACGAGATCAGTCGCAGTTTCCACCTCAGCTCTTACACCTGTCTCACGTTTTGCATGTTTCGCAGAATACATAACAAAAACTAGATGTTTTGTGTCTTTTTTAAGATACATTCTTCATATTCTTACTGTTGTTCACATACACTGCTGTTATTTTCAGGGCTATCTACTACACTTTTTTAAGAAAGATATATTTTTAAATTATAAAATATGACATATATGCCCATGGTTTTAGTTCCTAGAATATTTAAAAGAAATGACATAAAGTAGTTCTACCCTTAATTTACATAATCTATCCTATTTACAATTTAGTCAATATTCTAACAACATTCTTACTGATTCTTGGTAGTCTGCCTTAAAAACCCTTATGTGGCCTGATTTTCAGATAATGTTAGGTACTGACTCAAAAAATACTAAGCTCTCTCTAAAGGTCTGATGTAAAAATTGAAGAGTGAAGCACCAGCCCAAGATGTCTCAGAAGTAACCTGACTGTATATCACAGTGCAGGTTCTCAGCTCCGCAAAAGATTATTTCTTAGACTTCTCAAAACAGAACACAGAACACCAGCAGGAAGCACAGCCAGGAGGTTCCATACAGGATGTGCTGCTCACACATTAAGACCACCAAAGACTAATCTTATAAGAATAGTTGTATATATACACAAATAATTCAACATACCATTAGAAGTTCGGGCGATACCTTTAATGGGACTCTCCAAGCATCTAGGAAATGAAGACAAAACCGAAATGAAACCATTGCAAAATTATTTATAAGAGAAGACAAAAGCTTTTATTGGTTAAACAGGTACATCTATAAACGCTACAGAACACAGGATTTTGGGACTGAAACTCTTACCCAGAAGGTTTAGAACTAGATGTTGACTAGGAGAAAGCGGATCTTGAAGACTGAATACTGTATACCGACTGTGCTGTATCTGCCGTAAAGCTTCAAAATTTCCCAGCAGTATGTCACACAGCCATTGCGCGTTTACACAGGGTATTCTCCACTCTTTAGCCTTCTCATACTTCAAGCCACTGGCCCTTATTGTTCAGAGAGGAAGAAAAAAAAGTATATATTTCTATCAAATAGGTTAAAATAGCATTTCTATTAATAAACCTAAAATACCAGTATCTCTGTGTTGGCCTATTACCTATTTTAGCTACGACAAAGTAGATATTCTGAAAAAACACTTTTGCTTTACATGCTAGAGCAAGTCTGTTAGGGGAGAATACCTGCCCCAAATGGAATCCAGTTAGACCTCGATTTAACTTAATTATACCCCCCCAATGTTTTCATTATTAAAAAAAAAAAAAAGTATTTTACTTATAGAAGATAAAGATAAGTCAGCATCACTTGTAAAATATTGTAAACCAGTGAAATTACAATTGAATTTTCTTTTGCCTGTCTTCAGAAGGCAAAATTTATCATGTAACAGCACGCAGCACTGAAGTTCAGGAAACATCATCACTAAGTTCATTGCTATCAAATCACAAAATTCACTAAAATTAACATTCTTCTAATGAGATGTAACGAGCACCTCACATTATGAGAAGCACTAACTGGCGACAGGCAGCTGAGAACGCAATACTGCAGCGATGAACCACTTACTCTTTGCAGATGAGCACCGTATTGCTGCGACACAGATAGCCTGTGTACTTGGCACCCGCTAGGTAGGCCATTAGTTTGAGGTCATCTCTGTCACTATCAACAAATCCTGTCACAGAGATTATCTACAGACAGAAAGAGACAGTTACAACTAACCAAACACAGACAGTAGTTACA